GATGATTGCTAAAATCCAAAGCAAAGTGATGGCATCAGGCAATCCATCATAATCCTTGTCATATCAATATATAGGCTTAAATTCTGTTCTATTTTAAACAGTAAAATCAGGCCTCCCCGGTGGCACAGTGGGCTGAGTGTAGGGCTGTGGAGCTGTCCACAGCCTCTGCGGGGCAGGTTCGGTTCCGGCCTGCCAGGGAGATATCCACATGGCGCAGCAGACCTCTCCTGCCTCCCCTGCTGCTCCCCTCAGCCGTCTCCAGTCCATCTGCCTGTTCTGCTCCCTGTTCCATCTCTGGTGAATTCTCTTACTCTCCTGTGCCTCTGGCCTGTACCCCAGTTCCTGTATAAATAAATAAATCTTTAAAAAAATAAATAAACGGTAAAATAAGATTAACTCACATTTATCCTGCAACAGTGCATATCTGTTCCACTCCTAAAATTTTTCATGGTGTGAAGACATGGAGAAAAAAATATTAAAAGACAAATTTAAATCTAAATAAAGCTTCATGTTAAAAAAATTAAATTGGTTATATTTATATACTTTTCTTTCTGGAATAACAAGGTTTTTTAAAAATTCTCTTAAAAGCTGCTTCTATTATGCATATGTTTATAAGAAGCTTTTATAAACATCATGCAAAAAAAAACTCTGAGGGGCTATTTACTTCACTACAAAATGTTTAATAATGCCCCAAATTGGTTATATCCATAAGAATGTGCTGTGTATGTGAGTGTCATTCATGATGCATGTCATTAAGGATAAAGAAAAAGCTGAGAAACAAAAGAAAAATAATCATATTATCAGTAAATTCTAATAAAAATCAACTGCAATTAAAAGGGACACAGAAGATCAAAGCTGGACTTCTGAGGATCAGTATTTGTGATAAATTACATATTTATTTTGCACCTATTCCAAGATCCTTACCATGCTTCCCCTAAGCCAAAAAAGGAAAAACATCTGTGTCATCTCATTTGGACGTGACTTGCTAAAGTACACATGCAAAGAAACTTATTTTTAGAGGAACACTGATATTTTTGTTATGTTATATATTGCTGACTAGGTTTGATAATAAAAATGTGGGTCTTTCTGAAATAAGAAAATACACGTAAAAATACTTAAACTCTAGTGGAATTGTAGCAGATGACAATCTTCCAAATCACAAGATAAAGGCAAACAAAACAGTCTGTATAACAAAGGATAGGAGAAAAGTAATTAGAATCATAAGCAAGGATGAATGTAATCAAGGTTACCTAAAACAATACACATAAATGAGTTAAACTCCCCTATTAGAAGAGGAAGACTCATAGTGTGGGTTAAAAAAAAAAAAATCAATCAGATGCCTCCTATAAGAGATATACCTGAAACAAAACAATACAAAAGGTTTGAAAGAACACAAAACACAAAAATTTAACCATCTCTTCATGTGAATTATAAATCTAACTTACTTTCCAGTTTGGAGGTGGTTTTGATGGCAAATAACTTCTAGTAGAATAATAATAATAATCATGATTTAATGTGGACCCACCTATACTAGCAGGATGTTCATGCTAATCCTCTCAGTCCCTGGAGACAGCCCTCCTCTCTGCTATATTACCAGGAATCTGGCGTGTGTGTTATGTGAGTCTGTGGTTTTTGTTAACATACAGTTATGTCTTTTATTGACCCAATCTGACGATCTTTGTCTTTTAGTTGGCTTTCCTTACTTTGTTCCAGATCTTAAAGAAAATGTACTTAAAGTTTCTTCATTAAGTGTAATGTTCACTTAAAGTTTCTTCTATTAATATATATAGCCTTTACAAATTAAGGCTTCATCCTGTTTACTAAGTTATTATTTAATTGTAGCTAGGTGATAAATTTTATGATTGTATTCATCAATTGAGATTATCATATGATTTCTATGCTTTATTATGGGGGTGACTTTGGTGTTGAGCCAACTTAGAATTCATGGGATAAACCCTACTTCATCAAAATGTACTTCTTAAATATATTTCTGGATAGTGAAGGTGATACTGATATTTAGGATTTTGATATCTACAACATAAGTGAAATGAGCCTATTCTTTTCATTTATTGTTTTGTCCTTAGTGATTTTGGAATCGATATCACTTGGTTTCATAAAGTGACGTGGACCTTTTTTTGCTCTTCTCTGATTTTCTGGGAAAACTTGTAAAAGGTAGAAACGAACAGTTCCTTTTAAGTTTGTAACAACTCTAGAAGTTCATAAATTTTCACTACCATTGACTACTCCAGCCCCATTGCTTTCTACTGTTTACCACATTTGGAAAGGTTTAGTTTAAGTTATTAACTGTAGAGAAAATACACACAGCCCTCAGGAATGGCACTGCCAAGGTTGTTTGCTTCAGCCTCACCCACCAACCCTTTCACTCTGCTTAAGTGACAGGGTTGCCTCCCCTGTTCAGCCCTCACCTTTCACCTTTGAAGAGATGACTCATCTTCCTCCTTTACTGAGAAAAGGGAACCCCTAGGGGCTAGCTCTCTCACCTCTCACCTACCTACTTACACTGGTAGGGTTGCAGGGGGAGAATTCCCCCTCAACTCTGTGTTCTTCTTGGGCTGGTCAAGCAAACAAATTAACATTAGACAGATGGGTAGGAGAAAAGGACAAACTTCATTCCCTGTGTTGGAGGATTTACGCGGCTGTAAATTGTGGAGTAAATGAAACAGACCGATGGTTTTTATTCTTGACTTAATGAATAGGATAGGGTCCTGAGGAACCAAAGATAGAGGAAAGGGGTCTCCCATGATGAGGAGACGGTGACTCATAGGACAAAACCAGATGCTCTAGATGTCTGCCTTAAGATAAGTTTCTCTGATGAAAAAAAAAAGTTATTTCTGGAGATGACCCTATATCTGGGTAAACTTCATTCTTTAAGGTAATGGTAATAGTTTCTCTTAAAGCTGGCAGGGCTGTGATTGACCTTAGCTCCACAAGCCAAGGTAACATGTATCTGGAAGAAGCCTGTTCTGGGCATCTCAGAGAGTCCTGTCCTTCACAGTAACTGAACATAAACACCCAGCCACCTCTCTTCCCACTATTCTCAAAAAGTAAGGTGTCTCTTATTAAATGCAGATATATATGTGCTCCAAACCCCAATCCAGCCTAACCCCCAGGTACCTCACTCCTTGGACATCCCTTCTCTGTCCTGAAATTTAAACTCCCTTTTACTACAGGGCTCCTCTCTTCTGGCCAGCAACATGATCAAATTTTACCCATCCCCAAAAGCACCTCCTTTGTGTTCAGTGGGCCAGGCATTCTCAGGCGCTGCAGGTGGAAGGGTAAGCTGGAAAGATCTTTCTGGAAAAGCACCTCTAGAAATTCACTAAGGAAATACTCAGAAATGCTCACAAGAGAGCTATTTAAAGATGTTAATCTCATTGTTGTTTTAAAAGCAAAAATTGGAAATAATCTAATGATTCAATAGGAGATAAGTTAAATAAATTGTACTTAAATATAATGAAATTGTGTACAATCATTAAAAATATAATTTTTAGAGAATAGTTGACATGAGAGACTATTCCTAAGTAATGTTGTAAGTGAAAACAGCAGCATATAAATGACATATACAGTATGATATACTGTTATATATACACTGAAAATAGCTAACACTTCTGGAATGTTACTATTACATACATTCTCTTGCTCAATCTTCACATTCTTGTACAGTTAATACTGTTTTTCACATTATGTGCAGAAAAAAATAAATGAGAAGAAAAATATATGTACAGGAGAAGGCATTACAGATAAATTTTATTTTCTTCATTCTCTTCTGTATTTTCCACTTCTTTAATGAAGAGGTATTACTTTGCATGAAACAGAAAAACTGAATCATTATTCTTTCTGGTTAATATATGTTAGAGATGAACTAGTTGAACAATACAGAGAAAATGAAAATCTTCCACCCACTACCGCTATTCTAACCACCGGAAACAGCACCGCAGACAGTTTGACTTTTATATTTATATTTGCTATTAAAACGTGCCTGTAGACATGTACACTTTGAAAAGCAATGTGCTCATCTTACCATGTAATACATAAAACTCTACCACTGAGTCCTTTGGGACTTCTGTTTTGCTTTCTGCTCTGAGAGATAATCCAGAGCCCCTTTCTAGAGAGACCTGAGTTTAATTTTGCCAAATGGTGAAACATCTCTGACTGTGCGGCACCACCTAGAGAGTTCTGGGTTTGAGGTTTGGAGAGCTGAGTTCCTGTCCCGATGCTGCCACTTCTGAGCTGTGGGGGAGGCTTAGCACCTTTTCTTTCTGAGAGCCCCATGTTTCAGGCGGGGTAACCGCTCTTGCCCCTACCCTAAGGGGGCATTGGGGTACTGCACGTGGCTGATGTGCTCTGCCCAAAGCAGTCCACTTCCAAGCCCTCCCTTCTGCCTATCCCCCATCTTCCCCTCAGCCCCTTCCCTCACACCCCCTGCCTCTAGGAATTCTTCGGTAGTAAAGAGGAAGAGGACTAGCTGAAGTAAAGAGGACTAGCGGGACGGGACCTTGTCATCAGACAAGTGCTGGAGGTCCAGAAGCCCGAGGCTGGCTTTTGAGCACCCCTCCAGCTCACTCTACGGTCTTGAGACAAGCTAGGACTCTCCGGTGCGGAAGCGTAAAGGAAGAGCCTGGATTATAGCGGAGGGAGCAGGGGAAAGCACGAAAGAAAGCTGGGAAAAGCACGAAAGAAAGCTGGAGAAAGCGCTGGAAGGCAGCGTTTCAATTCCAAAGCGCCTTTTAAAGGCTCTACCGGAGCGAGCCGGGGCCGAGGCGACGGCCTTCCTCCGCGGATCCGCCGCCCTCTGGTGGCCGCGTGAAGAAGTTGCAGCGGCTTGATCGGCTCCGCCTCCCTGCGCAGAGGCTAAGGGGCCAAGTGGCCACACGTCCTGCAAGCAAGGGAAGTTTCGAGAGCTTCCTACCAGAGACCTGAAGCCTGCCGGAATGGGAACTCAGCTGCCAGTGGGCCAGGATTGGCGCCTGGGACTCGGATTACCTTTGGTCATTGTGAAAGTAAGAGGCACCTGACAATGAAGGAGATTTGGTGCGGGTGACTGCAATAGAGAGCATGTTTATTAGTGAGGAACATCTCAAAGAAAAGGAAGAGGGTCTGATATTTTAGAGAGGCGGGTAAAAGGAATTTATCAATGTGTCTTAAGAAAGGATAAACACAGGCCTTCTTGAAATATACAAAAATAATCTGCTCCAGTCACAGTTTGTGGTTTGCTAGAGTGTATCAGACAAAGGTTGGGGTCACCAGATTATCCCAGGAAAGGGGTGTGACCCCTATAGTCAAGCCTTAGAAAGAGGCAGAAACCTCAGTTCTAGGATTCAGCTACAATGTCCCCCTGTCTGTCAGCCAATCTGTCTGTCCCTGACACCAGATCACTCATTCTGTTATCTCTTCCCATCCGCCTTTCTTAATTATCCACAACCTCTACTCCCCCATAACTTCATCTGGCACCAGGAACTCAACTCCCCCTGCTCCACTCAACTCAATCTGGAGCCACAGAGCCAACTATTAAATGCAGCTTTCTTCTGGCTTTTTAAAGACACCTCTTTAAAGATAATCTGTCTTTTTCAAGTCCGGCCACAAGCCACGAGTCAGACTGCAGCCAGCATATGCCTACCTGACCTCTGGCGGGCAGCCCACGCTGGCCCCTTGGTTGTACCAAGTAGGGTGGATGAGCTGGGCAGGACAGCTGCCCTGAGAAGTGTCAGGAGCAGCTAAGCTTCATCTGCAGGAGGCTGTTGACTAAAGAGGGTGGTCTGAATGTCCAGAGAGAAGAGAGATCCAGTGACAAGCCTGTGTTGTGGACCTGCAGTATCTTGAAGGGAGAATCAGTTAACCAGCCTCTTTGACATCCTCCTCGGTCTGAGGGTTCATGCCAAGAATGGCTTTTATATTCTTACGTGGCTGAAAACAAGCAAAAGAAGATTAATATATGTGACAAACAGAAATGATACACAATTCAAATTCCAGTGTTCATAAAGTTTTATTAGAACATGGCTATGCTCATTCATTTATGCATTGTCTTTGGCTGTTTTGCACACATTAGCAGAAGTGAATAATTGCCACAGAGACAGAAAAGCCTCCAACAGTTATTATCTTACCCTTAACAGAAAAACTTTGCCAACCTTAGGCGATCCTAGATTGATGGCACTGGCTGTAAAATCACCACTGGCACTGGAAACTGCTCACCAAGCAGGTTCCAGGAATCCATTTATCATCCAGGTGACTTTTCTCCAGGGAGAGGAGATACTAGCAATAATGTCTTGAAAAGCTGATCCAATGAGCAGTCAAATGTCTCCCCATAAATGAATCTGTTGGCTTTCTGATTTGTAAGACAGCCTCTTTGAGTCAGGTTAAATGACCCTCTCCTGGGTCTGACCATCCCAGGGACTGTATCAGAGAGGGATCTCCGTTACAGGTGACAGAAAGCCAATTTGGACAATGTACATACCACCTGGTATGTAGCATGGCACCCCATGTGGGTCAGACACTTGGACCTCAGGAAGGTGTGGGCTGATGCTCAGACCTCCATGGCCCGGTCTCCTCACTCTCCCAGTTCCCTCTGCAAACCACCACCATGACCTGCTCTAGCTGCTTCTCACATGCTCAGGCCTTGGGGAGGGGCCATTTGACCCATGTCCAAACATCCTAAAGAAAACTGGGCTCTGATTGGCATGTCCAGGTTCTCACCCCTGAAAATCAACCATGCTCCCCTTCCCACTAACCAAAATGGTTTTCTGGTAACGGGGGGAGGGTAATAGGTGGCAGCAGTGTTAGGATTGAGTCCTTACTCTGGTCCTTTGGTGTTTGTTACCCTCTGCAGAAACAGTCCTGTCCTGAATGCCATTCTCAACCACTTTGCCAGGCTCTTCTGGTTCTTATAGACTGAAGATAGCTGTTACCTCCTAGTGCTCCTCGTCTCCCAGCCAGTGCTGTCCTGTGCGCTCCATGGCAGCCCTCTCTGGCTTGCTTCCCCCCTTGCCTGACTGTCCTAGCTCGTAAATGACTTGAAGGCTTGATCAGGTTTTGTCCCTCTGGGCCACAGAAGAGGCTCAGTAAACATATCAGGGATGAACTAATTCTGATGGCCTGGATTCAACAGTGGGGATGCCTTTTCAGAAGCAGATCCCAGGTCTTCTTTCCGATGTTTCTCACATCATGCAGGCAAGCAAGGAATTTAAGAGACCATGTTTCAGTTCTGCTTCACCACACACAAGCTGGACAGATTAGCTAGCCTCCTAAATTGCCTAACTCCTTCAGTTTCCCATCTGTGAAATGGGAATACTGATAGTATCTACTTCAAAGGGCAAATGTAAAGGTTAAATTAGATACTGCTTAGCACAATCCCTGGGACATTTATATGTACTCATTATTTTATTACTATTATCACTGCCAACACACTTTGGTGTATCTGTTTCACTTTCTCTGTTACAAATATTATAGTCCTAATCATACCGCATATGCATATTTAAATTCCATTGTCCATAAGTAGCATGACAACATGCCTGCTGCATTGCTATGGGGAGTCTCGAACGCACCTTTTCTTAACTTTTTGGGAAAGGACTCTTAAAGGATAATTTTCCCACAAAATTAAAATTATAGTACACAGATATAAAATAGACAGATACAGATATATAGATATCTTATCACTGGGCACAGGTAGGGGGAGGAAGAAAGTTAGGAGGTATTTCAGGAAGAGGTGACAGCCCATATGAGTCTCAAAGGACTAGAAAACCTGCCTGAGGGCCTCCCCGGTGGCGCAGCGGTTGAGCGCTGGGTTGCGAAGCTGCCCGCGGCCTCTGCGGCGCCGGTTCGATCCCCGGCTGCTCCCCGGCCACCGGAGGAGGATCCCACATGGTGCGCAGACCTCTCCTGCCACCCGCTGCTCCCCTCAGCAGTGTACTTCAGCCCTTCTGCCTGCTCTGCACCCCACTCTGGCTCTGGTGAATTCTCTCACCCTCCCGCGCTTCTGACTGTACCCAGTGCATGTATAAACAAAACAAACAAATATAATAAATAAATAAATAAAAACATGCCTCTATAAAAAAAAAAAAAAAAAAAAGAAAACCTGCCTGATAAAGGGGTTGATATCTTATACAGATTATAAAATGCACACATGTTAAAGATCTTATTTTAACTCATTATTAATGAGGGACCCAGGAAACTGACAACCAGTTCAGGGAAAATGCAAAGAGCAGACACAGTTATAGACCAGAAATATTGAAATGCATATGCAAATAGGGACAAAACTGGTTTCTCTCACCATGGGAGAGGGAAGTCAATTGCCTACTAGACTGAATTTTTGCAAGTCTCCAGACATTTCTGCTGCTCACTGGACTCATGGATTGCATTGTGAAAGACTGTAACCCAAGAATACCCTACACAGTTGGTTTACTACTCAGGATGAAGGCATTGCACAATCTCAGATATGAAAACACCCCATCCAGCTGGCCAAGCTGCTCATGAATGCAGGAGCAAATAAAGATCACATACAAAAGTGGGGAGGAAAGGGAACCCATTCCAGCAAACAAGTAGGATCCCACTGTATAGTAATAATAATAATAGATGCTAAAATGTAGATAGAAGAATCTACAGGAGTATTTAGTGAACTGTTAACAATATTTGTCTCTGGAAGGTAGAGCCATGAAGGATTGTTATTACCCTTGTGTTTTGTATTTGTTTTTTCTTTTTGCAACATTCAAATTATTTACAGTGAAACTTTATTACCTTTAGTTTTTAAAATAAGATGTGCAATTTTACAATTTATACATTAAGACTTTATGGCTAGTTTTAGATAGTCACCCATCAATCTTTCTGGAAGAATTACTCAAATACACACTCCAACTGCCTGAAACATAAACCGAAATCAAGAATGTAAGGACATGTAGTGTGGTGGATTATATTTTCCAAGGATGACTGCACCAACCTCTCTATGTGGCTGTACATGTACTTATGTGCATATGTGTGAGCATCCCACAGTTCATCTTATCAAGTGATGCTGACACACTTCCACTGAATCCGGGTGAACCAATAGGAGTAACTGTGATTTCTGAGTCTAAGTTATAAAAGACAATATGGTGGGGCCTCCCTGTTGGTACAAGGGGTTAAGCATCAACACTATGAAGCTATCAGCACCCACTGCAGCACGTGTTCCATTCCCGGCCAGGGAGCTACCCACATGGCGCAGCAGACCTCTCCTGTCTTGCCTACTGCTCCCCTCAGCAGTGCATTTTAGTCAATCTGCCTGTTCTGCTTCCACTCTGTCTCTGGTGAATCCTCTTTCCACCACCCCCTGTCCCCTACCCCCGTACCTCTGGTCTGTACCCCAGCTCTTGTACACATAAATTAAAAAAAAAAAAAAGGACAATATGGTGTCCACCTGCAACTCAGCCCCATACTGTGAAGAAGGCCAGGCTATAGGGGGTCATGTGTGGAATTCTGATTAACGAGTCCCTGTCAGGACCCCAGCTAGGTAAGAGCCAGCACCAGCCATAGGTGAACAAGCATTCAGGCCTCCACTCAAGGCAAGTTATTTCTGCTATGCCCTATCTAATGCACAGAAATTGCAAAAGATAATAAATGATTATTTTAAGCCATTCATTTCTGGGGTAATTTGTGTAGCCATAGTAATTGGAACATGCCATATGTCTGGAAACCACTTACACACAGAGATCTCAATATAAATATTATTATCAACATTATTAAAATTTGAATGTGAAATTCAAAACCAATTTTTGAAAAAAGTAGATGCATGAGTTTTAAAAAGAGTTATGCTAACCTGAGCCTTTCATGGAGAGGCATGGAGGCAGGAAACTGGAAAATTCATCTTGCAGTTAAGGGAGGCAAAGATTGTAGATTTATCTCTTGAATCTGATAGTTGGAGAAACATGGTTCAAGAAAGTTTCTTGCAATCTTGAATGTGTCAGCTGTACACTTTCCAAACCACAGAAGATACAAACCAACAAGTCGTTGTCATTATCAGACAAGGCAAAAAGCAAAACAAACAAAATAGAGAAAGCATAGGCCAAGCCATGAAAATAAGCCCAAACCTGCCAGAGTAAATAGGAATGCTTTCTACTCCCCTTCTAAAAGCCAAAGACCCTCCAGCAGGGGAAACACAATTTACTTACTACAACATACCCATATAAGTGTATACAAGATATAGCTACTCTCCACTGCAGTTCCGCATAGTAGGCCAACAACCCTTGCAGACAACCACCTCGCCAGTTCTACTGGGCTCCCTGCCTCAGGGGTGCAAGTGCTAGTCTCCAAGTGAACACGGAGGAGACAAGGGCCGGCATAAGTCACTATCTCTGGGTGCTGCTAGTTTCCTGGCTTGAGCAACCTGAAACAGTGAGTGAAGGTTAAATCTTACCCCTATGTGCCTCCTGCCTGCAGTTTCTGGGCCAGTTTAGAGGGCAAGGCATGCATGGCCCATGCCCACTAAGCATATGACTTTGCCCAGCCTCAATGACACATCATTAGGGAAAATTCCTCCCAGACTCCTGCCAACAACTTGCCACTTTTTCTAAGCAGTTCTGAGTTTTTGTGGTTTTTTCTGTCATTAGCTTTTAATTAGCTTTTAAACTGGGAAGTTGGGAGATGATATATCAAGGAGGGTTTTTATAATGCCATCCTAATTCTAAAATCTGACTGTCATTTTTAATAGCAGAAGCTTTTCTAAAAATGTGTCTATTAACATCAGGTGCTGTGCTCCAAGCCAGTAACACTATAATGAATAAAATCTGGCCACTCACCCTGGGGAGGCACTGGTGGTCAGGGGAGGGAGCAAGGGAGGCAGGAACAAAGTCCACAACTAACTCTAATATACAAGACAGAAGAAGTGCTAAATATAGTTACAAGGTGGCTAGAACAGGGAGGCAGGAACAATTAATGCTGACAGAAGAATGAGAGAAGGCTTTATGGCCACTGTGCAGGGTCTTGCTGGGATCCCTCAGTGAACCTTAAAGGGAAGAACAGGAGCCCAAAGTACTGGCTGAGCCACTCAGAGGCGAAAGCCACCTCCTCCACAGCAGGGAAGCTGGGACCCAGGGCAGGGATCCGGGAAGGGGCAATGAGAGGGTCACGTTGACTGCCAGGGAAAGCAGTGGTGCAGACTCATGATCATGCAGGAGACTGCAGCTCTGAGGCCTTCAGGCTTCTGACATTGCCAAAGATGACATTTACTAATGATCAAAGGAGTGAGTTGGTAGCATTCTCTCAATCCCAGGTAGAAGGAGGGAGCCTGAAAGACATGGGAGGGCTGGTTGAGTTCTGTCCCAGGAAATGGAACTGCTAGAAGGAGAGGGAAGAGGGAACACTAACATTTATCGCCTTCTAGGCTCCAGGTATTACAGAGCATTCTAATCTCTGTAATTTTGCAAATATGGAGCATCTATTATGTGCCAAATACTGTTCTAAGCACATAGAGTAGTAAACAAAACAAAAACCCTGCTCCTTGTGCACAAATAAATAATTGACATGATTTTAGTGATAAATACTAATTACCAATATTAAGTAGTATGAAGTAAAATAAAAAGGAAAAGAAAGTATGAAATATACAAGAAGTATTCTGAGAAGTCCTGGAGAAGGTGACATCTGAGCAGAGACCTGAATTAGCAAAAGGACAAGCCATACAACATTTAGTGAGGCATTCCCAGTCTAAAGAGGAAGAAACAAACCTCAGAGAAGGGTAGTAGCTTTCCCTAGATGCCTAGTTGCTGAGACCTCTCGGGGAGACGTTTCCCCTCAGATTCAGGGCTGTACTCAGAGTCAGCACCTGACCCTTGAATTCTCCATTACAGACAACTGTGGTCTCACAGACCGTTAGACCAATCATCTCAGTACAGGGTCGGTTCATTGGTTCCTAATTTTATTTCTACTCCCCCATCTTTTGCCTCCTCCCCCTTTCTTCTCTCTCACTCCACTGCTTTTTCTAGTTTTACAATATTTTATTATAAATAAACACTGAACAGTACCTAACACACAGGTTGAGGTTAATGAATATTTTATAGGGAGAACCCTGCATAACCAGTGCCCAAGTGACAAAGTAGAATATTGCAGACACTCCAGATGCCTTCTTGCGTTCCTTCCCATTTCTTGTCATTTTGGCAACCCGTTCCTTGCTTTTCTTATCATTTTAGATTATAATGTATTCATGTGGCCCTGTTTAATATAAGTTTGCCTAATTTTGAACTTTATATAAATGGTACTACTCCACATATATATGTCGTGTCTGACTTCTTTTACCCAGCATCATGCTGACAAGATTTGTTCTTGCTGCTGAGTGAATTACTTTGTTAGGGCTGCTGCAATAAAACACCACAGACTGGCTTAAACAACAGAAATTTGTTTTCTGACAGATCTGCAGAAGTTTGAAGTTAAGGTGTCAGGAGGGTTGGATCCTTCATGAAGGATCTTTTCCAGGTCTCTCCTTGGCTTGTAGATGGCCATCTTCTCCCTGTGTCCTCACATGACTTCCCTCTGTAGGGAAATTTCTATGTCCAAATTTTCCCCTTCTTTCATGATATCAGTCATATTGGATTAGCACACATTCATCTCTATTTTAATATAATCTACATAAACACCCTATCTCCAAATATGATAACCCTGAAGTACAGGGAGTTAGGAGATTAACATATGAATGGGAAGATACAATTCAGCCCATCCACTATATGCAGCTACAGTTCATTCATTTTCATGAGCATGTAATTTTCAGTGCTGCATGGTATTCTTTTTTTTGTTTCGCTGCATAGTATTCTATTGCATGAATAAACACAATGATGGGCCTCCCTGGCAGCACAAGGGGTTAAGATGCAACCTATGAAGCTAGCTGCAGCCACTGCAGCACAAGTTCGATCCCTGGCCAGGGAGCTACCCACATGGAGCAGCAGACCTCTCCTGACTTGCCCACTGCTCCCCTCAGAAGTGTATTTCAGTCAATCTGCCTGTTCTGTTCCCCACTCTGTCTCTGGTGAATCCTCTCATCCCCAATTCTTGTATGTATAAATAAATAAATCTTTTAAAAAAAAAACAAACAAACACAATGATTTACCCACTCTCCTCTTGATGGGGACTTGAGTTATTTCCAATTTGGGGCAATTACAAATAATGATGCTTTGAACATTCTTTTACTTGTATTTTGGTGCATGTGTATATGAGTTTCTCTAAAGTCTATAACTAGAAATGAACAACTGAGTCTGAGTAAGCTCATCTTCAATTTTAGAAGATATGCAAACAATTTTCCAAGGTGGTAGCACCAATTTCTCCTCACTCTGTCCATCTATTCTCCTATTTCCATCACTCTACTTCCTCACCAGCACTTGGTGTTATCAGACTTCTCAATGTTAATCAGGAAATAGTTTATTTTGTAGTTCCCTGAGAACTAATGGGTTGAGTATGATTTCACATTGGCTATCTGAAACTCCCATTTTGTAAAGTACCTGTTCGATTCTTTCCCCAATTTTAAGTTATCTGTTTACTTTCTACACTCATGGCAATTTTATTCTAGGGTCATAGTTAACATTTTCCTACCACTAGACGTTGGTCAGCATCATCCGATCTACCCTGCAAATTTTTAATAATGTAACTCTCAGAAAGCAAGGGTTGGAGTTTAATCCCTTCCTTCTCATTATCCCTCCCGGGCTTCTTAGGCAAACATTCCAGTGTTCCCCCTCCAACTTCCTACCTCCACCCACCCCAGATGACCTCATCTCCACTCACCTGCTGTGCCACCGTGCTGATGAAAAGTGATGAAAAGTGGAAAAGATAATATGTAAATGTCCAGCATGGCGGCTGGAGCCCTGGATGTTATGAGTAAATATGACTTCTTGAGATCTACAGAAAGAAAGAAGAGCAACTACAGTTGCCATTTACTGGCTGCTACCTGAGTGCCAGGCAATATGTCAAGGACCACAACTGCCTTCTTACTACCATTCTCTTCTTTCTTACAGATTTTATTCAGGGAAATAATGTTTGTCCTTTGCCTTTCCTGCCTTTCTCTCTTCTGATGACTGGAGCCTGGAGCTCCAGCAGCCATCTTGAACCATGAGTTATTGCCCTAAGGACAAAAGAACCTGAATCTGTGACACAGTGAAGCCATCAGACCTTGATAGATCACTTGTTTCATGCAAGAAAAATTAACTGTCATATTAAAACCACTGTTATTTGGTTTTTTTTTACTATATGATACAGAACCTAATTCTGATACGGAAAATACATGTTATCAGTTAAACATAACCATGTAAATGCTTGAGCTAAGTTTTCTTGCCTCCATTAAAATCACTTTTGCTGACAATATATTTAATGATAAACTGTTTACCATAATATAAATAATAACATATTTGGGGCCTCCCTGGTGGCGCAAGGGGTTAAGCACAGCACTATGAAGCTATCCACAGCCTCTGGCCAGCCAGGGAGCTACCCATATGGCTCAGCAGACCTCTCCTGTTTTGCCCACTGCTCCCCTCAGCAGTGTATTTCAGTCAATCTGCCTGTTCTGTTCCCCACATGTCTCTGGTGAATCCTCTCACCCCCCCACCCCCCAATCCTCTGGCTTGTACCCCAGGTCTTGTATGCATAAATAAATAAATCTTTTTAAAAACATAAATAATAGGGCCTCCCCGGTGGCGCAGCGGGTGAGCACTGGGTTGCGAAGCTGCCCGTGGCCTCTGTGGCGCCGGTTCGATCCTCGGCTGCTCCCCGGCCACCGGAGGAGGGTTCCACCACATGGCGCGCAGACCTCTCCTGCCGCCCGCTGCTCCCCTCAGCAGTGTACTTCGGTCCTTCCGCCTGCTGTGCTCCCCGCTCTGGCTCTGGTGAATTCTCTCACCCTCCCGCGCTTCTGACTGTACCCAGTGCTTGTACAAAGAAATAAATAAATAAACTAAAATACATGCCTCTTAAAAAAAAAACATAAATAATAACATATTTACATCCCCACATTCAAATGTGTATTTTTCAAACAGCCCAGTGGATCCATATTTTTCTGTTGATATGAGTAACTGAGACATGGCATCTTAGATCGCTAGAAATTAGTATTCTCTATGATAGAACGTATTTCTTACTCTTTATAGTTAGGATACTCAGGAGGTAATGAATTTATTCTTTTTGAATTTGAATTAGCAGCAAATACTCACGGAGAACAACTCCCTGTTTAGGTCAGCCAGGCTGCATCCTATTCAAAGCGAGACACACACATCACAGTCTCTATCCTCTGACTGGAATGTGATAAACATAGAGGTCATAAATCACTGTCAGAGAGATTAGTGTGTTTGGTGACTGAATCATTACTGAGGTAGGAAGTGGTGTACCCGTGCACATGTACCTCACACGCATACACTGAGGAGGGGGCTGTAGGGCTTAGAGAGGTGGCGAGGGAGGGTGAACACCAGATTGTGGTTGGATGACCTGAGACGGTCCCCTTAATCTTTCTGAGCCTCAGTGTCTTCATCGAAAAATGGTGGTTTATAGCTTGGATGTACTGGAGGATTAAATGAGACAATGCATATAAAATATCTGCTGTAAAGGAAGCATTTGATAAACATTAAACAAGGTGGGTTTGTTTTTATTTTAACCTGTCAGCAGGTTAAGGCTTGCTCCTTACACAAGTCAGTCATCCCCAGCCAGGTCCCAGGGGAGGAACTACTAAAGCCCTAACCCTGCCACCCTCCCTTGGATGGGTCCCAGGACCCCTCACCTCCCCAAGACAACATCATCCTGTATCACCAAGGCCCAGAAGAGCTGGATGTAAGTACAGATTAAGTTCCAGTTTTTATTTAAAGATCCTAATTTCTGGACATTTATTTTGGGGATTACAGTGGTGGTTTAAGCTACTTTAAGACATTGGAAGTTGAAGTCTCTCCTTCAGTTGGTTGCTAAAGTTTAATTCAGTCTAATTATTTCATATGGCATCGACTATAATAGTTTCATAATTTCTAGTATATTAAGCACTTAATATGTTGTGGCATTTGAAATCACATATTAAATTCAGCAAAGTACATTTTAATGAGAGTTAAGTGGTGTGAAAATATTAATACAATGTGATGGTTCATCTTGGTGCTCATGTTTGGTAGGTCTGTTCCTGATGCACAAAAGCTTCGCTCACCAGGTGAGAGAAGCGTTTAACTGCCAGCAGCTCAACTGGGTATCTGAAGAGACAATATCCCTACCTTTTATTGTACAGTACTTTACAGTGGGATTTCTCACTGGGCTTCATGATACTGCCGACCAAGCAGGGAAATCATTGCTTCCATTTTAGAGATGAAGAAAATGAGGCTCATTGCTAGGACATAAATATGGCCTTCTTGGCTCAAAGTCGCTGGACCACAGCTGCTAAGAGTATAAACTGGGGTAAGGGAAGTCTGGGCTCTGGGCAGCCAGGATTTGGAGGAGGTGTTTTCCTCCCACGCTGCAGCCCCTTATAGAGAAACTGGCAGAACCACAGAGACGCTGGCAGGGTTTGTACAGCAAGTCCTCATATAACTCCCTGTCATTTAACATCACTGTCAATGAGAGGAAAAAAATATTCTAGCTGGGACCACTGTCTGTGTGGCATTGGCAGGTCTCCCCAAGTCTCCGTGGGTTTTCTCTGAGTACTCTGGTTTCCTCCCACATTGTGCACTGAAGTTCACTGGCACGTCACAATTGTCTTAATTGGACTGTGGATGTGTGTGCCTGTGCCCTCAGATGGAAGGGTGTCCTGTCCAGGGGGGGCATTTCCTGCCTGGTGCCCTGGGCTGTCAAAATAGGCTCTGACCACCTGCGGCTCTGAACTAGAATCAGCAGGTTGGCAAAATGAATGAATGAATGAATACAAGTAACTGCTGAATTAATTAGAAGTGTCTGGGGTCTTTCTTTAGATGTTTGGTAATATTATGACCAGAAATATGCTCTAGAACTTAACTCTTGCTTATATATCAACTATCCTAGTGTCAAAATTGGTTTTGTTATACCTAGATTTGCTTAAAGTCACAGTTTAAGCTTTGCTTAAAGTCACAAGAACTTATCAACTACGTTAAGTGAGGACTTAACTGTACCTGGATTCAGCAATTCTTTTTGCACCCTCTTTTTGCACCTCTTCAGGGTATGGGCCCTCCATACCCTAAATCTAGGTTCCTCATGCTTGAAGCCCACCTGAGGGTTGCTAGAGAAGAGTCTTGAACTATATCAATAACAGCTTGCAATAGCAGCTGCTCAAAATTCTGCGTCAATGGCAGAATTTCAGGCAACAGGAAGACATATTTTGGAGCAAACATTTCAGAACCCCTCTAATCACACGCCCATATTCTACCTAAGTGTGAAGTTAGCCCTTGGAGTCAGAGAAAACCCAAAAGCAAATTCAGGTGCTGTCACTGACGGCCTGTGTCACTTCACCTCTCTAGGCCTACCTACACTTCCCCCATTAGTGAAATAGAAGTACTCTCCCTTGTGCGTAGTGCTGGGACAGCAAAATGAAGTAGAACATTAGAAGACTCTGTGATGGGCAAGGATTCATACTAAGCTGAGTGAGCAGGGGTTGGTTTATGTGGTGATCCTTCCAAGAAATAGAACTGCATTTTCACCAGAGCCTCTGGTAACTCAAACCCAAAGGATTAAGGACCTCTAGGTGAAAACAGTCCCCATAGCAGCTAAGGAAAGTAGCAAAAAGAGAGGAGAGAGAGGAGGAGGGGGAGAAGTAAGTAGAGGGAGCGAGGGTAGAAAGGGTAAAAAAGGAGAAGAAAGGGAGGGAGGGAAGCTACTACTATGATAGTAGCTGAGAAAAACAATCTTTTTTTTAAAAGGAGCCAGAACTGTTTTCATTTTATTAAAAAGTTTGTTTCATCCAGACAGTTGCAAAATTAAAGAAAGAGAAGAGTAAGGCAATGGTCACATGTTGAGTATTTTTAATCCTTCCACAGACTTCCGAGGAACCAGCTCCTATTCTCAACCCCCAGCTCTTCCGTGCTAGGCCTTTCGCATGCAAAGCTGCAGCTAACCTCTAAACATCCCTGCAAAGCAGGTAGCAGAGTCATTGTCCCCAGGTCAGGAAAGAGACAGATACTTAAGAAATTCCTGGCAAGAGAAGAGATCTGGGGGCTAATGAAAGGTGTGGCCTGGGCTATGTTGCCCTGTCCCAAGGCAGGCTGGGGAAGGGGCAGGATCAGAGGGTACTCCTGGAGGTCTGGCATCTGGATGAATCAGAAGTGATCTTGGGCACGGACTCAAGAATAAGAAGCCTCCAGCATAGGAAGCTTAGAAGGAGAAACTCCCTCTGAGAGGTCCACTGGTCTCCACTGACCCTCCTTCTTCCCTCAGGCCATGCTCTGGGCTGTCCCACTACCTCCCAATCTCCTTTTCTGGGAGGCAAGTTGGGAAACTTTGGGAAAACTCACTTACAGTGAGGGGATTTTGGTGGGAGGATAAGCTTTAAGAAATATTAAAAGAGGGCCTCCCCAGTGGCGCAAGGGGTTAAGCACCACACTATGAAGCAATCTGCAGCCTCTGCAATACCTCCCAGGCCGGCCAGGGAGCTACCCCCATGGCGCAGCAGACCTCTCCTGTCTCGCCCCTGCTCCCCTCAGCAGTGTATTTCAGTAACTCCGCCTGTTCTGTTCCCCGCTCTGTCTCTGGTGAATCCTCTCACACACACCCCTCCCCCCAATCTCTAGCCTGTCCCCCCCTCCCCTCACCCCGCTCTTGTATGCATAAATAAATAAATCTTTAAAAAAAGAGAGAGAGAGAGATTAAAAGAACAAGGGGTAAGTCAGAGCATGAGTTGTTCAAAGGGATTCCAGCAGCCTGGGAAAGGATGGGGGTTGGGTATCCCGACACCCAGGCCCCTTTCAGTCAAGCTCTGTGTCTGGGGCCTCTGGAGCTTCTGCGTCAGGCCCATGAACTCAGCACAACCCTGCCCTACAATTCAGGCTGATATCCCCTGAAGGCACTAATGCTATTCCTCCCCAGGGGTCCCAGTACAGAGAAGGCAATGGCTGCTTCTCCCCACATCCTTGCTTCTTCCTCCCTCTGGTGGGATTGATGGGAATCCCAGCCCTTCTCACTCCAAATGAAATGACAGGTGAAAACATGCAATTCTCTCTGACTGTAGGGGAAATAAATAGCACTCTCCTAAGTGAGATCACAATCCTAAGATCTCCTGTCTTCACTGACATTTTTTTCAATAGGAAACGGCCCATTTCTTCATTGTTCAAAATCAAATTAAAGCTGGCTCTGTTCTCTCCCACTCAGAGTACCATCTCCGACAGGATTAGAGGGGCCAGTACTCATCTCCCAGGGGTCAGCCCAGGATAGTCAGGGAAGACTGTCAGGAAAGACTGCCAGGACTCAGGCCACATCAGGTCTGCAGAGTGAGAGAAGCCAACTGCTCTGAGGGCAGACAGGAGCCAGGCCCGCACCCCGGCTCTGAGACTGCCCAGCTCGCTCTTGCACCCGAACACTCCTCTTACCTTCTGTGTCTGTCCCCTTGCAGCCTGTGGGGGTTTGAGGTCCTCGGCAGTGATGACCCCTTTGGTGTTCTCCTCACCGAGTCTTGCCATGTGTTTCCTCTCCTCCAGCTCTCAGCTTCCCCTTTCCTGCTTACTTAGAGTTTCAGGGCTCAGGGGCAAGTGCTGTACCTATGGTCCAGCAGGTCCCAGGCCCTGGTCCACAAGAGGCCCTGTGGTCTGTTCCCCGGGGTCTTCCATGCCCCCCGGGATGGCCAGCATGCTCTACCATTTTTTCTAAAACAGAAAACCAAAAAAAAAAAGTAGTGTTGAATTTTAACATCCCGTTAATTAGTCTCAAAATAAATTTTAAAAGTCGTTCAGTTACTCGGTTACCAAAATCACAGCATGGCAAAGCAGAAATGCCGCGGACCAGCGCAGCGGTAGACTTGCAGGACTGTCTCAGGATTTGAGAAACTGTGAGGATGCTCAAGGAATCGGCGCATAAATGACAGACAGACACACAAATGACAGACAGACACACTTCAAGAGTGAAGATCTGAATGTAATTTGCTCAAAATCATCATACACTTTTATACCATTTCCAACAATAGATGATTTCATACAATTTAATTCTTTCTCAGCATAAAATACTTTGTAAGGCATAAGACATCTACTTCATTATTCATGTGCATGTGATCGCTGTTCCATGACATGGCACAGTAAACAATCTCCAGGTACTGAATCTACACAATCATTTTTGCCTACACTGAACAGCATTCTTTAAGCCAGCTTTTCTTGATTCGTATCCCAAAACCACAATGATCAGAAAGCATTAATATTTACCTACTGGCACCTCCTACTTTTAGTCATCACGAGCAATATATTCTCTACGTAAGCATTTTGATTTTTATGGTGTTGTCTCATGTGAGAAGTATTATGATTATTATAAAACTACCATTGCCACACACTATTTTCTTTATCATGCATTTCCTGAAACTGATTGTACACATATAAGGAAAAAGCAAAGTAAGTGAAAAAGTAGTATGATTATAGACAGGTTGCTAGGTTGCTACTTATTCTGAAACAATGGCTATTTGATTAATGGTAAAACTGCTTTGTAGGTAATTCCATCAGGCTTGTTTGCAGGTGACGTTCTTAGCAGCCTTGTTTCCATCAAAGGAGGGGTTAATTACTGCGGGCTTGTTGCCTAAATTAGGCTTATAGGCATGTGTGCCTTGTTTGATCTGAACGCCAAAGTTTATCATGATGAAGCCCCTCGGGGACTGCGCCTGTCTTAGGTCGTCAGGAGTCACAGACATGAGGCTGGCCAGTGCCTTCTTTAGTCTGCCCCCGATCTTACCCGTCATTGACTGTCCAGTCCAGCGCACAGGGGAAGGGGGTCTTACTCACTCTGATGTGTCTGAGTGAAAGCCTCCCTCTTTCCAGTAAGTTCACTGGCGTTCAGCGGCAGAGGCTGCCGCACAGAAAGATGTAAAAGATCACCTCCAGGGCAGTTTCCTCACTGCACAAGATAAAGCAGGACCCAGAGGTCCAGGGAGTTGATCAAGGGCACAGAGATAGTGAGGGAAGGGACAGGAACTAGAACTCTGCTCTCTCTATATATAATTGCTCAATAAGGAAAAGAAAAAAAAAAAAAACAACAGACAGACAAAAACCCCACCTCTGGCTCAAAATAACACATGCTCATCTAACCAGAAATGGTGAACAACCAAGTCCAACTCCTGCTGGTTTCCGCAATAAGGCAGCTAGGCACCAGAGAGATGTACCTGTCACTGTGACACGTGTGCGCATCAACTGTGTCGAAAAGACTCTCCTTCTAAACAAATGAATAAAAACATGGATGCTAATTGAAGATTAGCATCATCTCCCATCAATGCTAATACGCTTTTTGGTTATTTGCAATTCCCTTTTGTAAATCTGAGGGAAACATCATTGCCCAAATTAGCTCTTTTCCCTCATTCAAGGCCATATTAGCATTCTGAGGTTTGCATTTGCTTACTGCTTATTTAGAGAGAGGTCAGATGGGAAGTTGGGCAGCCTGCACCTGATTTCCATTTCACTGAAGACAGGTGGGGGAAGAGGGGAGTGCCAAAGTCCCCAAAGGCCAGCCCAGATGCTCCCTGACTGAGGGGTCCCTCTGCTCACAGTGCTGAGCCAGAGCACAGCCTGGAACACCAACTACCTCCACTGAGCCTCCCCTGTGGGACGCGCCCAGATGGGTGAAATTGACTCAGGTGGTTCCAAGGTCCTCCTTTGCCTGGATTCTCTGTCCTGGCCTCTCAGGGCTGCCTTAACATGAAGTGACAACCTAAATAACCCCTGCCCTCCTGCTCACCCATTGACGTGGCCTTCATTCCGCAGCCACTTTCTGTCCCCTATGTTCTTCCTTCTAGCCGGTCCCAAAGACCACAGCAACCCAACTGTGAACAAGGGAACAAGTCCTAAAACCACTTGTCCCCAACGCTGATTTCCTCGGTGCCCCATATTTAGCGAAGGAATGGCGGGAGGGAGGAAATGGGCTAATAATCCCTTGGAAGTACTAACCAAGAAAGGGGAGGGCGCCTTCAGGTCCCAAATCTAGTCTGAGGGTGAAGTTGAAACAGTTTTTGAAAGCGGACTTGTGTCCAAATCTCAACTTCTTTTACCCCTGGCAGGATAATTTTCTCCTTCATGATTTAGCCTCCCAGAGCATCTGTTCACTGACCTGCAAAGTGGGGGGGACAACATGGATCAGGCTAAGTGCCCGGCTCAGTGATGGATCAAAGTGTGACGACCACTCCCAAACAGCACCCCCTCCGCCCCCCTTCACACTGTGAAAAGCTGGGGCCCCTCCCTGTTGCTCTAGGTTTCAAGTGCAGGCCCCGTCCTGGGAACCCCCGGGGCTGCGGTGGCGCCCGGCTCGGCCCTTCCGGCTCCGGGCCGAAGGCTCAGCCCTCTTAGGGCTCGCGGGGCCCGGCGTGAGCCCGGCCCCAACCAGTCCGCTTCAGCGCGGCCGGGATCCTGTGGGGGCCTCAGGGGCGCCAGAGCTCCTAGTCCCCAAAATACACTGGAGCGGCGCTCGCTCTACTCTGCGCAGTATCGGGGGCTTCCGCGCCGCCCCCAATCTCGGGTCAGCGGAGGAGCACAGGCCCCACCACTCGCCGCCCGGCCGGCCCGGCGCGGAAGAAGCGCGCAAGTAGCGCGCACCACGTGACCGACAGAGACAGACGGCGCAGTCTGTCGGGCAGGCTGAAGGCCAATTTCCCATGGTCCCTTCATTTGCATATACAATGTAAGCCGTTTAGGGAAACAATTATATTAAATTTAGTCTTGATCACAACACATCTTATATGTATACAGAAAAATGTAGTTTTAGGACTAGTTGGCATTTTAAAAAGCGCACACCGTAATCACCATAACTGTAAAATTTTTTCTATTCTGTACCTTATATACCCTGCGAGAGGAACAAGAGATCGTGCTCGCTTCGGCAGCACATATACTAAAATTGGAACGATACAGAGAAGATTAGCATGGCCCCTGCGCAAGGATGACACGCAAATTCGTGAAGCGTTCCATATTTTTATTTCACGTGCTGTTATACTTTGAGGCCAACGGTGTCTATCTACAGATCTTTTCTACCTCAGGCGCTCTGTCATCCACTCAAGTCTTTTCCACCTTACTCCGCATCCCTCTGCACTATCCTGAGAACCATGGTGCCTTACACACCAGGAAATGAACTTGCCGAAAAGTTAATACTTTCTGGGTTCAAAATATAACAAGTACAATAAAGTGTACTTACCAATACTCATTTGCAGCAAGACTAACTCCTCGTGCGGCCTCTGAAGTTAAAAAAATAATAATGCCCACTCTTTACTGAGTATGGACCAAGTGCCAGGGGCTTCACCAACGTTTCATTTTAATATTCCTGACAGCCCTGCCCCATGGATATTCCTCGGAAAAAATCATGTAACTAATAAGTGTCTGAGACAAGGCTTGATAAGATCTCGAGGAAAGACCCTGCCCTAAGTTATTCAGTTGCAAAAAATAAACAAATAAATAAATAAACACAAACCCCACAATCCTAATTAGTAAATTGAGAAAAAAGTCAAACATGTCCAGATTATCTGTGATGAGTGTCAGTGTTTTCTGAAGTGTACATTTCTTTCCAGGAGAGGGTTGTTGGTGTATATACTTTGCTGGGGCCTAAGCCTGAGAGTGGTGGGTCTTGTTCCCCTCCACAGCTACCTGGAGCCCAGTGGGCAGGCCTTCAGCAGCAGCAAAGCTCCCAGGCTCTGGGCTCTGCCCACAGTCAGGGCAGGCATGCAAAATGCGGCCCCCACCTGGAAGCTGCCGTAGGACAGCCAGGTACTCAGAGCTGCCAAGCAGGTTTGCATCAGGGATCCATTTTTATTCTCTTCAGTGGAAGTGAAATGATCCTTTCCAGGTAACAGCGGTGAAGAAGGGTCTGTGGGGCCTCTCCATGCGCTTTCCCCTCTGCTGGGCTGTCAGTGCCTGGAGCTAGCACAAATCTTTAGTTTTCCTCTCTTCTTCCAAAGGTGCCTGGTTTGCTGGAGGCCACTAAGGCAGTTGGATGAGTAGTTTTAAATATTTTGGGGATGCCAAACAAGGAAACGGATAGGTGTTGGTGTGACTCTTCCTCCTCCTAAAGAAACTCATCATTCTTCTGGACATGATGTTGTCTCAGAGCAGAAATTAGAAAAGACACTGGCAATTTCTAGTCCTGGAAAATCCAGAGACCTGGCTGACTTCCCTGCCACTGCACAGTTCTATGAAGCATGTCCCCCTACCCCTCTCATGTTACAGATGAGGAAGCTGAGGCACAGCAAGACCACATAACTCACCCAAGGTCACAAAACTGGTCGATGGCAAAGAAGGGCCCACGATCCAGGAAATCTGGCTATAGATGTATCATGGAGAGTGAGAGATAGAGCTGTTTGGAAGTAACAGAAAGAGTATGCAAGTCTAGTTCTGCTTTTTTGTTGGTGCTTTGTGACATGAACCGCGTTTTTGCAAAGGATCAGGGTAACTGGAAATGGGTGGACAGGTATGTGCCCAGTGACCTTGAAAAATGTGAGGGAATGAAGGAGCATCCTCTGTAGGAAGCAGCTGGAAGAGGAAGTTCTGTGGTTCTAGACTGACATTTACCTGACACCTGCCCCCAAAACTAATCCTATTGATGAAGTATCTTCTAAGCAGTAAGTATGTGCTTAATTAACCTTAGGTAAATGAGCTTAATTGCATCCTAGTAACTGTTGTCCAGAAGCACCT